CACGTTCAGTTAAGGTCACAGTTTTTAACAAAAAAAGAAACATTGCCGCTACCCAGAATTCTTTAGAATGGTTATACCCAAGAAATACTTCGTCGAATAACGGCAGTTTTACCGAATGGGCAAATTTGAATTTGGGTTTCCGGGACATCCTCCAACTCCACCCATTTTTTCCAAAGAATTGATAAAAAATTCATGGCTTTATATAATTTTGGTTTTACATATTTTTTTATATTGAGCGAACACTGCTCTTTCAAACGAAACTAGAAAGCTGTCAATTGAAGGTTGGAAGGACCGCAAAACTTCATAGAAACAGACCGACATTTTGTTTGGCTGCCCAGTAATGTTACTCTACTTTCATGGAAAAAAATTTTTCTGAGAGGCAAACTGGTGACCATTCCCTGGTTAGTTTTACAACCAGATCGATGCAGCAGTTCCCCGAAATAGTCATTCCCGCTGCAAACGTTATAGTTTTTTTTCAGTTGGAAGAATTCTCTGAATCCTTTAAGATACAAAAAATTTATAACTTTGCACGCGACCACAAACTGTAAGCTTGCAACAAAACCCACTTTATATTACAGAACATTTAAGGTGTTCAGTAAGAGAACCTACTGCTGTTTCAGTCTAAGACAAGACAAGACAACTTTATTCCCCCAGATTTCTTCTGGCAGGGGCACACCATGCCTTGTGCCGTATGATTAACTTAATTAACATTCAAATATCAAAACAGCAATCAAAGTTAAGCACATCCAAAACAAAGGTAAAAACAGACATACGTAATAATAGTAAAACAGACGAAAGATAAACAAGATTTACGCAGACTTGTACAAAAATATGGGCTATATATATTCGGCTGCGTCAATCAGAATTGACATTCAGGCTGTGAGGAGGCAACAGTAACATCTCACCGCTAAATACTTTGCGGCTGTCTTTCAGGATCTGCTTAAAAAAATTATTTAAACAGAAGAACAGCGTTTTATCGTTTTCCGTCGGTGGATCCCTTCTCTGTAATAACTTCTGCATCGTTTCCACTATCCCGCCATCGGGTATGGCTAGCTCCATGACGGCTAGGCGCTCCTTCAGTTTTTCTCTGTGTGGGGAATATGCCGGGCATTCGTTCAGAGCATGCAGTTCGTCCTCCACTATCTCATAGAACTTGCATATCCGCTCCTCCCTCAACAAGCCGTTCCATCTTCCTGTCTCCACGGCAAGGTGGTGGTTTGCAGTCAACATCTTTATCCAGTTTTCGCTGATCGTTATAGGCATGGTTTTTAGGAGCTGGACTTCTCTGCTTTCCGGTAGACACTGAAACAAAAACAGCAGCCTGCTGCTCCTGGCAGCAAGGGCGTCACAGGTTCGGTAAAAGGGGGGTGTCAAATTTTGACAGGGGGCAAAATTTGACGGGGGGCAATCGGTTTTGAAAAACATACTCTGTCTGCTCTCTTCAATATTACTCTGTCTGTTCTCTTCTAAATTTTGACGGGGGGCAATCGGTTTTGAAAAACAGGGGGAGTCAAACTCCGAAAAATTGCCGGTTGACACCCCTTCTATGACGCCCCTGCCTGGCAGCATTATTATGTATAATGAAGCAGCAGCAATGCACCGCATCATACGTTCTAACATTACTCATGATTACAGACGGAGCAATCTGACAACTGTACGAGACCAGTTTAGTATTTAAATTTTTACCTATACTGCTGGCTTAGTTTGTAAATGGTAGGTAGCTTTTTCTGCCAAGATGGTCGATAGATCACTACGCGCTTTTTTCTATGTAACAGTTAAAAAATTGCTGACAAACCGAACTAAAGTACAGGTAGTGAGGTGCCGATCCAGAGTGTTAGCTGAATCATCTTCAGAAACGGTCAAACAACTACTACCATAATAAGCGTGCACCCCAGATATAAATTTTGGACGAGTAAAACTGGCATCGTACAGATTACTGTAACGTTTGATGTGCCAGACAGGGTGCATAGCCTATAAAGTATAAATTTAACATAGTGTAGAATTTACTTTCAAATTTTGTTTTGGCCCCGCCCTTTTGATGATAGCAGCGGAAAATATTTTTCATGTTTCTCCCTTTGCTAATCTATCTTCATACAAAAGATGGAATTTTGCTGAATTTACAGAATTTATTTCCGTTGAAAATGGACAAGTTAAAGCTAAAAAACAGAAAACCACGCCGACTCCTTTAACGTCGTACATACTTTGTACGCATCCAATTAGGAATCAGAGGACATAAGTAACAATTAGTATGGATGGACTCGTATTTACCCGTTAGTATTGTACAAATACATTAAAGCCGTACATTATACCTGTACAAGGAGTGTCACTACTCTTAAAAATTTAACTACTAGTAATTCAAAGAACAATCTCAAAACTCATAGTAACATCTTTAAAAGTATCATTAATAAACTTTATTCAGTTTCTTTTAATAAACGGCAACGCCTTGCGCTCACATCAACAAAACTTTTTTCTGTTTATTGTGTTGTAACTGTTTTGGTTTTACAATAAAACTTTTGTTTGTACTAGTTCCGAGCATTGGGTTGACTCCTATCACTTTAGTCTCTCTATTGTACTTAACATTATATTTCAATAACTTTTTTGGGCAAAGTACATTTTTTAAAAAATCTCGCGCCATTCATCGGTACAATTTTTAGAAGCTGAATCTATTTCTGCTAATATGCGTTGTGTGTTGAATCGCGCTTGCACTGCACTATTTTACAGATCGATACGTGGCAGATTTTCTAAACTGTTGTTAAATCGGTTACAGTACTATTATAACATGAAATGGAGTAATGAAGCAAGGTTGCAGTGGTGAGTTTATGTGTGCAAAGATTGGAAACTGAATCGCGCAATGGGCTTCTCATGGGAGTTCCGTTCTCATTAGTCTGTTAAAGAAGTTTACTGTAGAACGGCTACTTAAGTTTTCGGTTTCAAAACAATTACACCCATCGTCACGGCAACCGTGCGCAATGCACAACCTTCGATGAGGCGATGAACGATTCAAAGCTTTAAATCGCGTCTGATGCAAAGTACGATTATCGTACAGTTTATCGTACAGTTTCTAGCAGAAACTTCTTATTACAAAATTAATAGTAAGGTGTGTACTGAGCATTGAGCACGTTTTTTACTTATCTATGTTTTGAATTTCGAAAATAATTATAAAAATAATACTTACCAAGGCACTTTTCATCAGACAAATTTCTTTTGTTCAAAATAGAAAGTTTACTACCGTGGTTTGCTTTATATTTCATTTGCAAAGGCCAAAAGGGCGTGCCTGGTGCCCAAACAAAAATGAGTACTATCTATAGTCTATAGATTCATATACTCTTACGTCCTTTTTTTCGCGAAATTATCTCTTAATTCAAGGTTCAAATTTCAGAACCGTTCATATTTTTAAAAAATCTAGCGTCCATCAAAGGGGGTCACCTACACTTTGAAAAAAATTCTTCGGTCTTTCAGAACGTTTTAAAAACGTTTTCAGTTTTTCAGTACTTTAGCTCTCAAGCATTTAGAAATTTCTAGAAACATCTAGAATGATCAAAACATACAGATTTGCAACTTAGCAGCATGTACCAAAAATGCTGAGAACTATGTATATAAAACACCAAACAGTTTATGCCCCTCTGTTTGTCCAGTCAATATTTTTGAATATTTCTAGTCGGTCCAGAATTTTGAAATCCATGTTTCCAATACTAAACTATCTGAATACATATCACATTATCTTACTGTCTAAGTATCCACATATTTAAAAACATATCGAAATATACATTTAACCTCCAGTTTTTTGCACTTCAGAATTTCGAAAGTATTTAAAATATTTAAATACCTGAATATCTTACTGTTCAAAAATCTAAACATTCAAATATATTTCTATTTCTAAATACTTCTAAATATTTCTAAACGTTTCTAAATGTTTCTAAATACCTCAAAACCCGAACCGGCCCGCGAAGCGTGGCCGTCACCTTAATGCTTCAGAAGATCAAAATATCTAAATATTTTGATACCTAAAATATCTGAGTAATTAAAATTACTAAACATGTAAACAATTTACCATGCAGTAATAGCTGATAGCGCCACGCTTTTACGCATTTTAAAATCTTTGAAATATGTCTAAACCATTTTAAACTTCGTTATCTCCTTCGTGTTTCTATACCTAAAACACAGCTGGTGGCGCGCTAGCGCCACCGATACTTGTCTTAAGAGTTATACACTATTACGTCTTTTTACTTTTGTAATTCCAAAACAAATTTCAGACTCATACATTCTAGCTCCAAATTTTATTAAAAATTCAGACACGTGTCAGAAAAGATTCATTTGCAGTTTTAGAAAATGTTCAGTCTTGCAAACAGTTTCTAAAAATCTTTAAAATTTTCGCAGTACTTAAGCAGTACTTTCCATGGAACAGCTTCTAGAAATTCCCGTTAGAATAACTTAAGGTTCTTACAGATATGGATCGCATGATCAGCTTAGCAACTGCTTCGTTCTACAAAAATTTGTTTTAAAAGTTGCAAAAATAGAAGCCAGTCATGTGTGTTCCTGTATTACAGCTGCTAGTGCACGTATTTTACCGACCTAACGGTACTCGTACAGTAGTTTTGTTGGGAGCTTGGCACGTTTGCACGCGCATGTAAAACTTTTGTTTCAGCCAACCAATCTCGTACTTAAAAGTTTGCAGATTATTAATTTTCTCTATTGCAATTTGTGGACGAACAAAGGTCACGTCTGAAAGAAATTCTAAAATTTTGTCCGAGGAATCTGTGCAAACTGTGATATGTGTTAATTTATTTAAGTAATGTTTTGCCTTACCACTAACTCGTCAATTTTGGAATCTTTTATTTGGAACTGGAGTTTTAGCACTCTAAAATCTTAAACACCTCCAATTTCCTAAGCTGGGGGCGAATACCTCTATATTTCGCTTGCACGTTTAAAAGAAATTTTTTGACAAAAAATTTAAAGAAATTCTTTGACGAACAAATCAAAGGTCACGCTATTTGAAATCTCCGGAATTCTGCCAGAAAACTAATGCCAAAACTGGTTCGGTAAAATCTACTCGTAACATAACTGTATACGCAAGTCTAAAAAACTTACAACTTTTTTATTAATATTGATACTAAAAGAGGTTAAGAATGCTAGTTCTGCGCAGCGGGGTCGCTAGTGCTACCTGTATATTTTCGTAAATTTGTACACGTTCAAAACAGCTTTAAATATTTAAAAATGTTTTTAAAGGTGGGCTCGTCGAAACTTTTATGGAGTTAGAAAAATAAGTGGAAGATCGCAAGGTTCCGGAAAAGTTGTGAATGGTATTTCGCAATTAACTTTAAGTTCTTGCAGCTTTGGAATTTTTTATTTAGAATGGCGGTATAAAAATTGCACAACTTTTTCTATGAAATTAAAATGTTCGCTGAATACACAGCCTCAGCTAGAGCCCGGCACGAGCCGAGCAGCTCGGCTCGGCTCGCGAGCGCTCGGAGCTCGCGAACACTTCGAGCGAGCAGGCGCTGTTTTGTAAATTTATGAACGAGCCGAGCAACAAGAAAAAAATATGCGAGCGAGCCGAGCGAGCGGGATCGCCGGGTGCGAGCGATCACGAGCTTACAGGCTGACTTTATGCTAACTGAAAAAAATGCGTAAAAAATGCGTAATTCCTGCGTAAAAATTATCTAAACCAAGCTGAATAGGGTCGTAAATCACCGTCACCTTCGCGCTTCGCGCGAACTAGTTTACTGGGAGTCGGGAGTCTCGGGACTAGGTAACGATAATCCGTAAGCAACAAAGACATTATTGAACCGAGCTTGGTAAACAATTCAGACATTTTTATTGCATTTCAAAATACACAATAAAACGGGAATCAGTTCAAATTTCAGCGAAAAAACGAAGTTATAAAAAATGAACAGCCAATGTGGAAGAGAAGTTATTTTAGATATCCTTTTTTGACAAAGTTTTTGCTTTTTGGGGAGACTAAAATTTTGGAATACGTAAATAATTTGCGCAAAAAACTTGAAACGTTAAATTATCTCCGCTGACGAGCGAGCCGATTTGCAAAAATAAGAATACGAGCGAGTCGAGCGAGCGACAACAAAGTAAAATTGAAAAACGAGCGAGCCGAGCGAGCGGCGGTTCGGCTGCGAGCGAGCTGAACGAGCGGAAAGTTTAGGCAAATGAAAACGAGCGAGTCGAGCAGCACTTTTCCTGCTCGTGCCGGGCTCTAGCCTCAGCCGACAGCAAAAATAGGCGGCCTAGTTATAGAGAGAATTTCATCTAAATTAGCCGATGCTGGTGCTGTTCCCAAGACAGAGGCACATGTCCCAAGACGAGTCAGAAACTGTTAAAACGCTCATTTCCTGACCATTTTAAAAGACCTAAATTTCTAAAAGCCATAAATTTCTGAAGGCAAAACTGTTCAAAGTTTTCAACACCTCCATTACCTCAAACTCAACTGGTTGCGCGCTAGCGCGACCGCTACCTTGTTTCATATACTCCTACGTCCTATTTTTCGCGAAATTATCTCCTAATTCAAGGTTCACAATTTATAACCTTTCATATTTTTTAAAAATCTAGCGTCCATTATAGGGGGTCACCTAAACTTTGAAAAAAATTCTTTGCTCTTCTAGAACGTTTTAAAAACGTTTTTATGTTCTCATTACTTTAGCTCTTAAGTATTTAGAAATTTCTAGAAACATCTAGAATGATCAAAACATACAGATTTGCAAACTTAGCAACATATACAAAGGATGGAACATTACACCCGGATTATATCACCCGGGTCCCGGAATATTCATTGGTTGGAGCAATGGTTCTATTAAGGACTACGCTGTATATCCCAACAACAACAACAACAACATATACAAACGATGCTGCTAACTATATAACACACTAAATAGCTTACGCCCCTCTATTGTTCAGTGAATATTTTTAAATATTTCTTGTCGGTCCAGAGTTTGAAAATCCATGTTTTCAAATAGTAAAATATGTGAATACATATCACATTATCTTACTGTCTAAGTTTCTGAATATGAAATACATAATTATCTAAATTTAAATTTTACCTCTCGTTTTTCTGTGCTTCAGAAATTCGAAATCTAGCCTTCAAAGTATTTAAATACCTGAATATCTTACTGTTCGAAAATCTAAACATTTAAATGTATTTCTATTTCTAAATGTTTTTAAATACCTCGAAATCCAAGACGGCCCCGCGCAGCGGGGCCGTCATCTTAATGCTTCAGAATATCAAAATATTTAGATATTTTGATACCTAAATATCTGAGTAATCAAAATTACCAGATATCTACATAGCTTAACATGCAGTAATAGCTCATAGCGCCGCGCTTTACGCATTTTAATATCTTTGAAATATGTCTAAAACCATTTTGAATTTCGTTAGCTTTTTCGTGTTTCCACTTTCCATACCTAAAACACAGCTGGTGGCGCGCTAGCGCCACCGATACTTGTACAGTATACAGTGTTACCACGCGTAGCTGCACAAAATCGCCGCTTGTTTTATGGTCTGTTTCTCGTGCACCGCTTATCGTACCGTAAACGATTTAGTCTTCGCTAGACAATTTTACTGACTACTAAAAAATGGGCCGTGCTCGTTAACTATGGTGTCAAACGAAATTTTGCAAAAAATTTATCAAATTTGCACTTCGGCATGAAGACACTTCGGCATGCATGAAGACCCTTTGGCATGAGAACATTTCGGCATAGATCACTGTGCTGTACAGCTTGTACCGTATTAAACTATTAATGGCATGCGGTGTATGTACTAGTACTGGTACTTTGTATGTAGGTACGATGTATGTACTTTGTACGTACATATAGATATACTGTATGTACTAATTAAATCAACGCTCATAATACGCGTCACTATTATTTTAGAATAATTGTAAGTAATAATGCCATTTGAAATACTGCCTTTCAAAAATTTAATTTTTGATGATTTAGAAACTGAAAAAAGTTTGTTCCGAAGAAACCCCCGGCCCCCAAGGGGCCATTCACATTCCAGGAAAGGTAAAAAAAAACATCTTAACAATGAATTACTTAAATGTGATTTTCCGGTACTTCGTTTTACTACTGTAATTCCATTTCCAAGCAACAATCAATTTCCAATCAAAAGTATTGCAGTTCCAATGAAAACCGTTGCCCCGAGACACTTCGCAAGAAAATGTGTCAGTCACAATTTTTCTATCATAATAAAATGTATAAACATATGTTAATTCCACAGCCTCAGCCGACAGCAGAAATAGGCGGCCTAATGATACAGAACATGCATCTCATCTAAATTAGCCGATGCTGGTGCTGTTCCCATGACCGAGGCCGCTAAAGTCGTATAAAGTTAATCATTATTATGCGGCAAATATAGGTTGTAATATAGATAAATCTTGAGATATATATAGATAAATCAGCAAATATAGATAAATCTTGAGTGATAGTTTTCCTGCCGTTTGCTGTACACCGGACTTTGTATTAATACGACAGACTGCCAGTAATAAGCATAAGGAGGGCAAAAACGCACTGTGCCGTTCTAATAATATTACAGGGAGTCAGCGATACCCTTTACGTGCGTGGTGACTCACCACCACGTAAAAGGCATCGTCCACTCCCTGTAATATTACTTAATACTCATATGATTACAGCGTGCGAAGTACAGCTAAAGAAAATGCAAGAAGCGAAGAAGTTAATTGAACGAAGTAATGCTCACAAATTTAAAAGTGATGCAGCAGACACCACACGAAGTAATGCAGCCAGTGATACGTCTAACGTAAGTGATGCGATGAAGAAAGAAGGCAGAGGTTATCACAACGTAGAAGGCTTTTCGCGGCTCTCGGCTTCCATAGCAGGTGGCACCTTGGCACTAATCGACTTTTGGCTTCTGTTCTTTGAACATATTATCAGACACGATCCGATCCCGGCTGCTGGAACGTGTATTTACCATGTTCAGGCCCGTAGCGAGGTCCGAAGGATGGGGGGTGCGCAAATCGGCTGCGCCAGTTGCGCCCTTTTTAAGTTCGTTCTGCGCCCACTGCGCCCGTATAAATAAGAGTCTGCGCCCCTTGCGCCCCGCATTTCCCTTGGACTCGCTATGGCCCTGCTCCCCGTTGCACAGCCGACAGTACAGGTCAAAGTCAACTGTGTGCAAGATTCCGAAATTTACAAAGCATTTCCCACAAATTTAACGCGGCACCGCCCTTGCGCCACGGGCGCACTCATTTCGGCGCCCGCTGCGCCCTCAAAAAATCCATTTTGTGCCCGCGCGCCCGTGCGCCAGATTGGGGCGCAAAATAAATTCAGAAGTTAGCCGAGGTTAGGGGTGCGTGCGTGCGCACCCCCCCTCGCTACGGCCCTGACCATGTTTAAACGACTTTCAAATGTTACAACTTCAACCGTATTGGAAATAAAATCTCAGTGGAGTGCTTGCGCAAATTGTTCTGATTTACTACGTAAGAGGCTCGCTGGCTAGCTGAGTTAGCTTTGGTGTCACGCTGACAAGCTGGGATTTACTCCCGTCGCTGCTGTTATACTACTCTGCAGTGCCAAACTCGTGCTATTAGTATTCTGCGCCTTATTGCAAAATCTTATTAAAATTAATTTTGGTTCAAAAATCTACAGCTGTTCTGTACTAAGATATACATGTAACTATATTTTGTAATGCACTAAGGCTTATTGCACCCAATTAGGCGGCTTCGAAAGTTTCTGGTAATCGAAATCATTACTAAAACACCGCACATTGATTAGCGAAAAACTTCTTTGATTCAATACCTAAATGCGCGAGAACAAAGAACAAGATAATGTTTGTACTCGTTTACTTATATTAAAGTGGGAGTATTAGTCAAATTACATCTATCATGCTCAAGGATCGTTTAATCAATTCCGGCAGGAAGGTCAGCCGTCAGCTTGACTTGGAGTTTCAGCAAGAAGTCACTAGGGTTAACGTATCCTTTCGACGGGTCCAGTAAGTCCTTGACCACAAAAACTACGGTAACAACGTGTGCTGTACGATTCTGCCACTTGAAAAATCTTACCTCAAATCGTATGAGGCAAAAATTCCAAAATCCAAAAGCATTTCCCTTTTTGCTGAACATGGGATACCGCTAAAGCGTCTAAAAATGCAGTTTTGCGAATAGGTATTCTTTTTAAAAAATGTCAATAGCGTTTATACGAGTACATACATCTAGTAATCGGTGCCATCATCGATTTCCATGGTAGCAAGAAAAGTTCCGTATCAGCTTGACATTTCCAAGAGTCGGAATTCACATCACCATCACATTTCACAAAGTAGCCCCATCCTTTCTGTAGGTGCTTCTTAATCATAATCCGCCTATGACACGATGTTCATTCAGCCATCTTTGTGTGTTTCAACCCTCTTACAGCGACTCACCAAGGCAGCTTCCTGACGATTATGGGATCACTCAGTGTAAACATCTCCCCCAGTTTCCTTATATCCGGAACGGTAAAGTGAACGACACCTCGCAGATCATCTGAAATTGCCAAACCATCGTCTAAGCGAACTGCCTCAATATTCGTCTATCACCGCTAATAAACTTACTTCGCCGGGGCTCCGCACAGAACGGCAGCTCCGGTTTAATGTCGGCATGCTTGTAGCGGAAAATGTCCCACAGCTCCGGTTGCAGCAATAAACCAGTCTAAACATATCGAAATCCCGTTCAAAGTACCGTAAATGGTAATTTCTTGAGAACTACTACTTCACGAGAATCGGCAGTTCGGCACTACACGACTAAAGCCCAAGTTATACTTCCATCAAGCGAGCCAAATGATCATCATTTAGCGTCATTTCACTGATGCGCATTCATGCTCGAATGAAGGAATGTGGTCAATCGTTGTCATTGAAGTATAAACACACCTTCCTGAAAACTGATACCTGACGCCGATCATGCAAAAATGACGTTGAATGATCACGAAAATTGACGAAATAGTCGTGTTCATTCTGTCATGTATCATGTGTCAGGTTTACAACGGTTTTTCAAAGAACTCTTGCAAGAAAATTGCTGTAATTGTATAAGAAGATGTTCGCTGAGACAATGCAACTCTGAAATGAGTCTAGAACGGCAAAGTCTTTATGCAACTGCAATGACTGAACTCAGGAAATTCTTTTTGATGTAATTAAGGATAGAAAAGCATAACCATACAGTATTGTAGCGATAGTATTTGTACGAACGATAAGACCGCCTAGTTATGATGAATCATTCCATCGCGTTATGAATTTGTCCACTTTACCGGCTAGTTTCCTTTCTCATGAACTTCTAGAATTCAGTCTTGTGCTCAGCTTGCTACAGCTTGCATCTACTTGATTGTTCCTCTTGCTGAAACTCTTGCCGTAAACCTTGCTCCGTTTCTTGAACGCCTTGTCATTAAACATGCCTTGAGTTACGTTGTTGTGTTTGACCGCTTGGGATGAACCTGTGTCATCCCAATCGGAGCCACCTGTGTAATTGCGTTACATCTGTAAGAGCGTCTTCGGCCAGCATCGTTGCCGGCCGTGCCACCTTTCACACCAACAGCCGTTTAATCGTGGTAAAGGCTGATCGCCACCCCACTAGAACAGTAGCCAGATAGGCCACTGTTACATGGCGCTCCTGTATTCGAACCAGCACTAGCACCTGGACGCCTGCATCTTATACTCGTGATTTCCACAACACCACCACTTCCCGCACCAACCAGTGGAAGTTCCTTCGTGAGTTTTGACTGTGCAATTTGTAACCGGTGAATTTTGTCTTATTCGGTCTTAATATCTAAAACATCAAGTGCGCATATATTAACACTGATTTTGAAAATTTTGCTGTCTTCTTGCACAAGCTTTACATCCGCGAAGGTTACGTTAATTTTAACACATGTTTTAATGCCATCATTTTTGTAAAAGAATATTAAAATTACGTGCGCTTACATTAACTGTTAACACTGGTTGAAATTATTTGTTTGTGCTCTCGTTGGCCGTTACATTAACGTGGTTTACCCGGCGCCTCTGTGCCGCCTTGGTCTTGTTCGCGCCAAAACTTTCTGCTGTCACAGACTCACAGTCACAACAGACTGCCTGCGCTCAGAGAAAACATTACCGGCCTCGGTCCAACAGTTCAGTGGAATCTCAGCAGATATATTAACATTACAGTCCACATAATAACGCTGGAAACTGGAAAGATAACCTAACGCGACGCATCTTCACTGCCGAAATTAAGTACAGACAGCCCAACAACAACGTCTGCTATCCAGCCTGCATTACTTCCCCAACCGGCCTGCAAAATTACAGATACCAACGCCCAGTTAAAGAGAGCCGCAGAACAGAACATGATGCTTGGAAATACACAGCGCAGAGGTGCGACCACTGAGCGTACGCACCAAAATGGCCGCGCATTCAGTCCCAGTTCAACCTCCGACAATGAACAACATTATCGCAGCCACCGCCACAAATATTACTGTGATTTCAGCGATTCAGATGACCGTCGGTCATCCAGCCCGCGCCGAATTGACTTACGCAGTGAATATTACAAAGAGCGCCGGTCGCCCAGTGCAGACCGTGGCCGTGCACAAACAGACGGTATCGTTCACAACACCGTCCCTACTCGCGTGAAAGTATTTACAGTAATGAAAAGCACCGTTCACATTACCGGGAAATTCGCACTCACTCGTCCGAGAACGATCGTACATATTACCGTGAGCCGTACCGCAGCTACACGCCCGATAGTGCGCGCAGCACTGAACCTTATTCTTTGCGATATCGCTGTAATTTGCGTAAGCGTGACCACACGAAATATTACAATCGCAAAACTTTCGACGTAAGTAAAAAGGTACATCCGAAATACATAGATTTCGACAGTTACAGATTGAATAACGGAAAATTATTTTGCCCGAAATGTTGTGATTTTTTCCATTCGTATGGCGAATGTAAGAATTTTAGCTGCGATGACAAGCATACTATACCGCGTATTTGCCCTGACGATATTAAGGCCAACGTTCAAAAAACAATACGATGGGTTTGTAGAACAGATGGTATGGCGGAAGGGAAATTCCTTCTGGAACAGTCAACAAGGCAAAAAGGTTGAACGAGTATAAAAAGGGAGGTCCTTATGGACATGAGTATATCCCTCCCGTATTTTACACTATCACTGAAAGTACATTTTACGCTGATCGTGTGAATGCTTCCGTAGCACGATGTTCACGAATATTAACGGAACAACGCCAAAATCTGGGTACAGCTAAATTGTTTCAGCCTCATACGCCTTACATTAAAAACTGTGTCAACGATATTACGACTTCAACCGTGCCAAATTTCTCAATTGATTCCGAAACGAATATTACACCGCAAACAAAAGCCAGAATGCAGTTACTGGAAAAATTAGCGCATATTAATACGGACAGTACGAGTACATTATTATGTGCCCCCACACAGTGCAGACTGGACAATGAAGCAACCGCACAATCCTCACAGACGCTTGCTTCAGTGGCTGTACGTCACACAGATCCAGAGATTCCGAGTACATTATCGCCCAGACCGGCTAAACGCGAACTTACAGTCGATGGTATTAATTCTACACTGGAGTATATTAGCAATTCTCCATTCTATCACACGATGTTTAGCAACCCGCACATGCTAAACATACCTACAGCTACATTAAATTTCCCCACGTCGCCGGAAGAACGCGGAAAATTTCCGGATACCGTGAGGAACCCCTTCCCAATCCCGGACATTCCCAGCGGAACCTGACTGTAGGATCCTTCCGATCGCCGGATGGATTCTCGTGGTAGTTCAACGTGAGGGACCACCACGCTGTAAGTTAAGGATCATCCCGGACCATTGTGTTGTACTACTTACTAATTCCTAACGCTTTATTTTCCTGTTTTCTTATTCTTTTGTTTTGTTGTCTTGATGAGACAGGTATATCTCATCGCTACCGTGAGGGATGTAGCGATAGTATTTGTACGAACGATAAGACCGCCTAGTTATGATGAATCATTCCATCGCGTTATGAATTTGTCCACTTTACCGGCTAGTTTCCTTTCTCATGAACTTCTAGAATTCAGTCTTGTGCTCAGCTTGCTACAGCTTGCATCTACTTGATTGTTCCTCTTGCTGAAACTCTTGCCGTAAACACCTTGCTCCGTTTCTTGAACGCCTTGTCATTAAACATGCCTTGAGTTACGTTGTTGTGTTTGACCGCTTGGGATGAACCTGTGTCATCCCAATCGGAGCCACCTGTAATTGCGTTACATCTGTAAGAGCGTCTTCGGCCAGCATCGTTGCCGGCCGTGCCACCACACCAACAGCCGTTTAATCGTGGTAAAGGCTGATCGCCACCCCACTAGAACAGTAGCCAGATAGGCCACTGTTACAGTATTTTGTGATACCAAAATTTAATATCAAAGCATATAGTGTTTTGTAAAAAGAATACATTTCTGTAGAGGGCGACCGCCCTGAGTAGTCGTTGCTGTCAACCGCCCACGGTAGCGGCAGGCGGCGATAGAGGCACCCGCCCAAGTTACGGTTGTGTACTGCCGCCCACGGGGCGGGCTACTCAACTATGGCATGCCGACATTAGACGTATGGCAAGCCGGGAAATAACAAATACGGCTCGGGGGTGAAAATAGGGCATGTTTTGCTGTGCGCCGCTATCTATCAAGTTTTACAACGTATAAGAATCAATCTAAGTAATCAAACATATTTATTGTGGTTTTACATAGTAATTTTCTACTGAAATCTTGATAATATTCACAGTAAGCACTAACTGTAAGTACAGAAAATCTTATGCTTTTGCCATAGGTTATTGCAGCTCTTTCTTCCTAAATCATTATGTGTGCCGTTTATTAATTTTACTTTCTTCTCATTCCCACTACGAAAGGCAATGGTAAAATCCTACAACTCACAAAAACTTCGCATTCAAGCAATTTTTAATTTAGAAATATCGAGCAAAATATTCTGGATATAATGGATAATACGAGCAACTTGATTAGCGGCATGAGACGGTTAGTTCATACTCTGCGCGTCAAGCGTAGTCATGTATTCATGCAACATTTGCCATCATGTTTCCGGCATCATTTTCATGTTTCCACCTTCATTTAAATGATGCCACATGTTAAATGAAAATGAAAGCGCATGATCGTCAGTTTCATTTCTCATCAGGTGGAAGTATAACTTGGGCTTTACTCTCACACGAGGCAAACGGTCGGGCGCTTGGTTATCAAAAAGCTCAGAAGTCAGTACCTGAGCAGGACCATTCATTAGTTGCGCATCGGTTAAGACCGGGAATCGGACGAGATACACCGCCGGGCCCAACATTTCGCGCCGATTAATGGCAGAAGCCTCCAGGGTCCTCTTATTGAAAGCGCTCGCAGCCCACCTGCAAACAACGTGTGGCGGCGTAATTAACATTATAAAATGCCTGTGCCCTTCCAAGTGAGGAGGGGAGTATTCTTGAGAATTGCCGGTGGTCCTTACTTTTCAACCGAAGAATAAATGGTCGCTTCATCGACATCCAGTGTCTCTCGTTTTAGAACAATCTCCAGCGTCTCCAGTCCGATGTCAGAGAAACGAGTTGACTGCCAGACACTTTCCTTTGATCGGTCAATGAGGCGCAGACATTCATTCATGACACTGGGCGCTGGACATTTGTAACGAATCACCTAAGAGCACAACAAATTTGCCGGCAGCAAAATGGAGCGTAATGCATCATAAACCAAATGCAACATAAACTGGGCCAGGTATCCGAGAAAACCAACCATGTCCAGAATTACGAAGCAGCTGTCCTTGTTTTCTGACAGATGATCCAGGATGAAACGGATGCACTTGTCAACCAACCGTGGAAGGTCACACTTGTCAGCGCAGATAAGAGTTCGAAACACGTTATCCAGGTTGAGACTGTCTATGGTGTCCGCGTAGATATAGCTACATCAGTATAGAATTCGGTATTTAGAAATTAAGATCCTGCTGGAATCGGTGACATACAGACCTGAGCATATTATCGAAGGCGTCCGGATGGATATCCGGAATCTCTACGGGAAGTGTGCAATTCTCTGGCATACGTCCATAGAACATGTTGTGAAACACAGCGCTACGGGCACCCATGATGACTCTGCACAACAACCCAACAACGAAGGATCAAATAGAACAGACCCGTGGATGGGGAGGAAAAAGTTAACAGCAGGGTAAGCACCTGTGAGCTGGAAAGATCCGCACGGCACCGTACTCACGTCCCACCGCGAACTGAACATCGCTCATGTCGCCGCAGGACAACACCTGTTTCAGACACTCAGCAACCCTAGCGGCTTCTCCACGGTTATCTGGGCCGGAAGACCCAATCGAGCTTTCAGACATTGCTGCAGAACGGTTCTTCGACGGTACGACGCGGCCCCGAATGCGCGAACTTAGGCTCTAATCCTCTCCAACAGCTTGTGAAAAACCAGCATATGTACTAGTACAGACACACGAGTAAAAGCAGATTTTTGAAAATAAGGTCTTACCCCAGGCCAAAGAAATAATGTATAACAAGAACATCCCAATAGGGAACAGCTAGCTTGTCTTGACTGCTTAACTTGAAATATCTAGAGAACGAAGAGGATAAGCTAGAAAGAATGATCAGTTTTACTGAGCCACAAAATCTAAAAAGAACGACTTGCTACTGAACCCGGCAGTGTGAGGCAAAATAGCCAACCAGCTATAGTTCCGCATGATGTTCTTACTGCGGCAGAGTAGCCGTACAAGT